CTATTCTTACACTGCTAAATTAGGGACGGCTAGCGCAGATAGCCCTCGTGTAGCTTTGCGCGAAATGCAAAACAAAACACAAAACCAGCGTAACAGCACGAACGATTTCCAAAACTAAGGGGCATGTAGCAATCTGAAACTAGATACAAGAAGTTTTTGGATATAAAAAATAATTATGGTTAAACTTCGTTTTTTAAAAAGTTGATAAAATGGAGTGGACCATTTCCATGATTTACTTCTAACAAAATATACCCATCTAATTACTTGAAGAGGGATAAATCATAGGGATGCAAATATTTATTTTATGGATGGTTTCTTTAAGAAACTACTTGTCCCACCTGAAAGACTTATGTATAGTAATACTTACTTTATTAAAAATGTGTTTGGATATTAAACGTTGCAGTTATCCTAACTATTAGTACTTGTCAACTGCAGGTTTAGCCTAATAAAATCAGTCATAAAATATTAATTTTTACCTTGAATATTTTAGGTTTAAATTCTAGTTTTCAATCTTTATTTAATTCCATATATTAACAAATATAATGATTGTATAAATAAGAAGTTATTGAATAACAGAAGAAAAAAGATTCCCATCAACAATAAAGCAGGATTAGCACTTGTGTCACCAGGAATATCATAACACTAACCTTGCAATAACACATCCCACTGGATTATCAATAAGGCAGGATTAGCACTTGTGTCACCAAAAATCTCATAACACTAACCTTGCAATAACACATCCTACTCGATCATCAATAAAGCAGGATTAGCACTTGTGTCACCTGGAATCTCATAACACTAACCTTGCAATAACACATCCTACTCGATCATCAATAAAGCAGGATTAGCACTTGTGTCACCAAGAATCTCATAACACTAACCTTGCAATAACACATCCTACTTGATCATCAATAAAGCAGGATTAGCACTTGTGTCACCAAGAATCTCATAACACTAACCTTGCAATAACACATTCCACTCGATCATCAATAAAGCAGGATAAGCACTTGTATTACCAATAATTCCGTAACGCGTTAACCTTGCAATAACAAACTCCACTCACCCATCAATAGAGCAGAATTAGCACTAGTGTTACCAATAATTCCGCAACGCGTTAACCTTGCAATAACAAACTCCACTCACCCATCAATAGAGCAGAATTAGCACTAGTGTTACCAAGAATCCCATAACGCTTTAACCTTGCAATAACACGCTTCTCTCAACCATCATTTCCACTTGTGTTTTGTTGTGCAAAAGATACATTCAACGAAATCGCAAGAGCAAAAAAATGCATGCTATCTTAAAGCATTTATGTAGATTGGTAATATCAACCTTTCCACATACTTCAGGATTTCACAACCTACAAACAAAACAGTCATCTTCATACATTTCAGAAACACACTTGACTACCTGGAACTATAAATATCAGAACTTTGTGGCTTTTATAAATTGATAATGTTTCTTTCTGAGCAAGAAAAAAAACAAAAACCTATTGTCAATAACGACTCATGATCTACGAATCCATTTCATTTTATTACTCCGTCATTTTATAAATACTTTCTGATTAGTTTGTTTTTATTTTAATCAGGAATTTGATTCGTAGATGCTTCTTAACACACTGCTAGACAACTTAGATGTGAAAGTGGTTTAGATGAGTACAATACGGTGGTTCAAAGTTTTTGGATTTGTTTTGTTTTAGCAAAGTCACACTGGGCTATCTGATGTGTCCACTACGGGGGAACCAAACCTCGGAATTTAGCGATGTAAGTCCGTAAACTTACCGTTGTCCCATTGGGGGACCGGTAGTTTAAAACCGATACTGCAACCGCGCCAATATATATTTTTACAAAGAGAAATGAAATGATAAAAAAGGCACATCCTAAGTAACACGTGTGCAAAATTTCAGCATCAGTATTTAAGGGTTTGGCTGCTAGGGCTAGGACACAAAAAATACAAAGTGCAAATCTGTTAAGAGCTAAGTAGGCAGATTTA